AGGAGAGCCCTTTCGGGCTCTCGTTTTCTCATACGGATAGGACTGTCGTAACTAGAAATGCACCGTTTATATTTGCAAAAGGAGGGTTTGGATCTTGGATAGCCCAGTACAGTCGTCTTGCTGTACAGAATCTGCTGGGAAATGACAGCTAAGTAAATAGACTGACTGAATCCTCAGGTGCTCTCTTGGGAATTAGTTTATACCTCAAATTGAATTGTATAGCTAATAACAAATCAGTCGGCTAATTCTGCCTGTTATTCTAGACAAGAAAGTTAGCATAGCTATGCAAGAAGGAATTGGGCTGAGTATCAGTCTCCGTGTGTTCCTTAGGCCAAGTTTTGACTCGCTTAAACACATAGGAAGTGCATAGTTACTTGAGGACAGACGCTTAAAAAGTATGATGCTGGGTATGGGTCTTCATGCTGTGCTTTAGAACACAGTGCAGCAGTGGATGCAAGTGGTAATTCGAGCTTTTTTCAGAAAAATTGAGCTGCTTTGGAACGGCTTGTAAGAGATCAGTTTGATCAATGGAACAAAATTCCAAACTTTAGATTTTTTTAAATTGCCTTCTAAAATTTTTGTCAGAGCTGTGTAAAGAAATACAAAAGCATCACTGTCGAAATCAACACTGAATCAAAGAATTACTTGATCTGTTAATATAAACTGTGACAGTGTCTTTCATAGAAACAAAGCTTACACAAAATACTTTCCCTTCCCAGGTTTTTCAGTTCTTGAATGCAAAATGTGAGTCTGCATTCCTTTCCAAGAGAAACCCCCGTCAAATCAATTGGACTGTTCTGTATAGGCGTAAACACAAGAAGGGACAGTCAGTAAGTATATGCCAACTAATGGCGCTCTAAAGTGTTCTACCAAAAGATGTGGTCGCTGGTCTGTTAGAATAGAGGTAACTCCAGTATGCTCGTGTTTACCAGAAGCATGAGGCATACACCCAGGATGAAGACTGGCAAATAATGGTGAAAATGTGAGTGCGTTTACATGAGTTTATATGCTGCTTTATGTTTGAAAGGTAACCAGTCCAGCAAAAGCGTTGTTTGTGTTGTATCACTACTTTGAGAGACCACACAGAACCACAGTAGGTTCAGCAGATTTTAACAACTGTATGAATGGCATACGTTTTAAAAAAACTAGTTTTGGAGAAGGTGGGTAATGCTGTTTAATATGCAGACTTTCTAAAAGTTTGGACTTGTAAAGTTTCTGAGTGGTGATAGCATAGAGAGCTGATTTGGGACTTAAAGGGTGGGGAAACTTTCACGTACCCTTCTTGAAAACTTTGGGCTGTAACTTAGGAGGTCTTTCCCGTGTAGTTGTCACTGCATGAAAAAGAGAAATTAATAAGGCATGTAGCGTGAGGTGTTTTCAGTGCTCTTGCTTAAACTTGCACAGCAAAAGAGCATTTAGAAAGGCTGACATATATGTTATAAATCAATGTTTTTACCAGTTTGTTTGGAGAAGGAAAGTTGATGCTTGATGGCTTACGCTGCTGCCCAGCACCGTGATCCCACTTGAAACAGGTGGGAAGTGTCTTTCTTTCAGAAGACTCCAAAGTCGACTTTATCCCTCCCCCCTTCTTTTTCTGGGAGTTACAGAAGCCTGAACTTCTGACATTCTCCAAAATAATTGTTTTAATACCTTGCAGAGGAGAATACGTCGTTCTTTTTTAGCTATGCATCTGCTTCGGCAAATCAAGAAATCGGTTATCTCCAAAGAGAGGAGTAAAATTCTACTTCTGCATACCGTTTTATAATAGCTTCAATCTTAATAGCAGCTTGTTTCTGTAATTGTCTTTAGCCTTTTATTTAATGTCTTGTGGTACTAATTGTCTGTATTTTTCTCTGCCATTTTAGGAAGAGATACAAAAGAAGCGCACGCGTCGTGCTGTTAAGTTTCAGAGGGCTATCACTGGTGCTTCTTTAGCTGAGATTATGGCTAAGCGAAATCAGAAGCCCGAAGTACGAAAGGCGCAGAGGGAACAAGCTATTAGGTGAGAAATTAGAGATAAGTGGAGCTATCTGAGGCCTTTCAAAGATTTATTAATGCTTTTCGTACAAGAGCTTAAACTGTAGGTGAGCTCCATGTTTTACAAGCTTTTTTGCGGGTTTGGGTGGGTTTTTTAATCAGTATATTTGGAGGCAATGCTGAGTAATCTCAGCAAGAGATAGTAGCAGCAGAGAAAGGTCTCTTCTTGCCCTCTCCCTTTGTGAAAATACTGCTTTTGTCACACAGATCTGCTGTCTCTTTAGGAGCCTCCCTAGAGGGTACTGAATGTAGAAGATAAACCTGAAGTAATGCATTCCTTTCTTGGTCTTAGGGAGTTCTTATGGTGCTGAGACAAAGAAACAGTGAATGGCAGACACAGATAACTGTTACTCTTTTTCTGTGAATTAACAGGGCTGCAAAAGAAGCCAAGAAGGCTAAGCAGGCCACCAAGAAAACAGCTGTTTCTGCTGCAAAGGTAAGATGCAATAGGTGGATAGGAAATAATGAAATGGAATATACTGTGTTGTAACACAACATTCTGTTGCAGAGCTTAATTGGAAATTCCCATTTGTGTTTGGAGGAAGCATTTGTTTGTCTATTTTTACGTGGAAGCACCTTGACCAAACTTTTAATACAAAAGTTAAACAGCTGAAGAGGGTGAACGTTTTTTTAAAGAAGAAATGTTACAGTAAAACAACTTTCTGACCATACGTCAGAGATTCTCGACAGCTAAAAACTTGTCTGGATGTGACATCTTTACTGCCTAGGAACTTGGTAACAATATACTGATGAATGCTAGTATCTATTTCATTATTACTTATGAATTAGTACAGTATGTTGGCATCGTACGTGTTGTAGGCTTACAGTGGTATTTGTGTAACAATCTGTTAATGTCAATCAGATAGATGGTAATTCTAATCTGATCTAAGTTGCCTGAGTTCTGTCAAGAATCGTAAATACTCAGGGATGCTTTCAGGGCTGCAGATAAATTGCTTCTCTTTGCTCATACTTTATTATTTCTCTACAGGCTCCTACAAAGGCAGCACCTAAGCAGAAGATTGTGAAACCAGTCAAGGTTTCTGCTCCCCGTGTTGGTGGAAAGCGCTAACTTGCCAAGCTGTTAGTCGTGCTGAATAAACATCTGACTAACTTTCATAACTTGTGCCATGTTCTCTTCAACTGTGTGAGATATACTGAAGAGAATTAATCTATGAAATAACCACGTCTGGTTTTGCAGACTGAAAAACATCTTCTTCCCATAAAACATTTTGTTTCTTAGACAATCTCTTGTATTAGCAGACATTTCCTAAGTTCTTAATGAATGACCCAGGTGGCAGGGAAGATGGAGCTGATGTTTGAGAAACTGTTCTTGCCTGCAGGACAAACAGCACATGAGTACAAGTTTATTCCGCGTCTATGTCAAATGGCATAAAAAGAGGTTTCTAAGCGCAGAGAGGCAAACTAAAGGGTGTGCGAAGCAGTACTGTCTGTAAGTGACTTAAAAAGGCTAATGCACTTCTTGTGGAACGTGTAGCAAGATGTTGTAGAGGATAAAAGAACTAGGTTGAAAAAAGGGAATGGATGGTTTCACAGACTGCATGGCTGTTACATGCAAAGGTTCAGATGCAACTCCTGGGTCAGGAAGTAAAAAAAACCCATGGATTGCTGGAAGCTGTTGTCAGGAAAAGGATGGCTGTGAAGGTCCTGCTGTATGTTCACTCACTAAGCTAGGTGGGTTTCTTGAGCCAGTATGGCCATTCTGCAATTATGATCGAATTAGCAGCACTTGCAACACTAGTAACAGGTTGAATGAGCTTCAAAGGCAGCTGATGGTATACATTTACCTCAAGCCCATTTAGGTTCATATTTAACTTCCAGAATGCAGATAGGAGTTCCCTTAGTAATTCCCCACCCTCCCACCCCTAGAGGGAGCAGCCATTTGTTAAATTCTTCATATGAAGCATGTATCTGTCTACTTTTGTAACTACACTATGTAGAAAGTGCCCAAACTTTGCTGTATTTTTGATGGACAGCAATAGCCTTGGCAAAGCAATATCCTCTGACTTACTAGAAGCATAGGAGAAAATGAACCTTCTCTGTTTTCTGAATCAGATAATTCTCAATTTACTGATGCCACATCTTAATGCCTGTTAGCTTTGTTATCTTACTACACTAGTCACTTAGGTTTCTGCTTCCCGCATTGGTGGAAAGCGCTAACTTGCCAAGCTGTTAGTCGTGCTGAATAAGCATCTGGCTAACTTCCATAATGGGCACTTTGGGTTATATGTTGTTTTGGATTTATTAATAAAATAGACACAGGTCCGGATGAAGGTTGCAACCCATTTAAAATAGGTCTAGCTTGATTACATTAGTGGAATCTGCACCATTATCTTGCAAACAATTATGCTTTTTGCTGTAAAAAAAGGCATAGGAGCTCCTCATGTTTAGAATTAAATTGAAGGCTTTTGAACTCGTTAAGACACTTGAGAGTGAAGGAGCCAGAAATGGGAGAGGAAAAGAGGGGAAGGAAAACTGCTTGTTGTTACAGGGAAAGGAATTTTTAATCATTTAAAACTGAAGGCTGAAAACACCACTGAAAGTTACCTATGCTAGTGACGACTACATAAAATCCTGAGTCTATGAGTGTCTTTGCATAAAGCACCTGGTACACTGCATGTATGCTTGTGAAAGTGTTCAGCTAAAAAGATGAAAGTGAATATGAGCTTTTACAAACAATCTGCTTGAAATACCATTAATAATATATAGGCATTGATTATCAGATATGACTAATTGGTAAGTCAGTATTTGTTAATGCTTTGAAGTTTGCAGGCTTTGGCTGCCTGCTGTTACTGCAGAGATGCACAGAAATGCATTAAGATTATGCTTCCTTGCTGTTTATCTGTGAGTTCTGACTGATACGGTGGGATGGAGTAAAGCCCATCAGGTTACTCATCTCACAAGCTATGCTTCAAGTGAGTGAGGCAGGCTCTCCAGAGCATGCCATTAACCTGGTGTGACTGCACATCATTCAGCTCAAACATAGATACAGTGCAGTGAATTAACACAAGTTAATAAATTAAAGTCCTTTTGTTTACCTAATGCAATGTAATTGATTCTCTATTAAATATTTATCACTAAAAATTAGATCAGGTTGCTCAGGGCTGTATCCAGATGTCTTGAACAACTCAAAGGACAGAGGTTCCACAACCTCTTAGGGCAACCTGGTTCCCAGTATTAGACCACCACCATGCTTTATAAAAAAAATATTTTTAAAAATCCTTGTATATAACTAGAATTTCCTGTGTTCTAACCTGTGCCTGGTGCCTGTTGCCTATTGCCATGCAACTCTGAGAAGAGTTTGCTTCCATCTTCTCTCTATCCTCTGGTAAGGTAGCTGTGGACAGCAGCAAGGTCCTCACAAAGCCTGCCTTTTTTAAGGCTGAAAAAGGTCAGCTCTCAGCCTCGCCTTGTCCCTCATGCTCTGATCCCTGACCATCTTTGTGGCCTTCTGCCGGAGTCGCTCCATCCCGCCAGTATCTCTGCATCTGGGGAGATCACAGTTCTCCCGACGCTGTCTTGCAAGCACTAAGCGCAGGGGAAGGGCGGCTGCTGGCTGCGCTCCTGCCGGGGCACGGGCATCCTGTGGCTCCTGCGTTTCGTGTCTCTGTTACGGGTGTAAAACAAAATCGGGTCAGAACTCGGACAAGGAAAACCAGCAGTTGACATGCAAAAGTATTTTCTTTCTTTCCCTTTACAAATAAAGAAAGAGCCCGCTCAACACCCCGAGACTTAGCCGCCGCGCCACCCTGCCCGCGCCGGTGCAGCTCCTGATAGGTACGCTGAGGCTGCAACGTGAAATCACACCTCCGATTTCCTCGTAGCTCCTACTCCCGAGGCGATTCTGAAGTGGAGACTGCTCGTTTCGCAACTCGGGCTAGAAAGGGATTTATTTAGGAGCGTCCCCTCCTCCCGGCGCCACGGCCGCGCCCGCCCTCAGGGGCTTTGCCCGGCTCTAAGATGGCCGCCCCCAGCCTTCCGCCCGGCCTCTCCTT